TTATTTTATTTTATTATTTTTTTATCGCTATAGGGCGTGTGCACTAGCCAGAGAGACAGAAAGCGAGAAATCACCCCCCAAGGGGGATGGTCATACCGCAATCCCTTCTCCTCCATTCTCCTCTCGGGATCTTGGGCACGCACGCACACACGCCCGACGTGAGTTTAAGCCACCGAGTCCAGGACTTGAACCGCAGTCAGCTACATGGGAGTCCAGCGACATAGCCATTACGCTAACTGCTGGTCTCAAATATTTTATCCTTTTTTCACGCTATCATTAGCAGAGAACCACTTTATTAATTTCATGTTTGGATCGTTCATTGTTCATGTAGAGAAATGCAATTGATTTTTTGTAAATTGGTCCTGTACCCTACAACCTTGCCAAACTCACTTGGCAGTTCTAATGCTTTATTAAAAGATTCCTTAGGATTTTACATATAAAAGCATGTCGCCCACAGAGTTTCACGTCTTCCTTTCCAACTTAGATTCTCTTGATCTTATTTTCTGACCTTGTGGCCCTGCAAGAACTTCCAGTACAGTGTTGAACAAAAGTGTTGAGGATGGGCATCCAGGTCCCGTCCCTGAGCTGAGGGGAAAGAATGTGGTTTTATGATATTACACAGGATCTTAACCAGGGGTGTTCTTTTCTTTTTAAGACTTATTTTATTTTATTTTATTTATTCATTCATTTATCTTAATTTGACCAGAGAGAGAGAGACAAAGAGAGAGAGAGAAAAAGTGAGAAAGCAAGCTACCAGGTCCAGGACTTGAACTATGGTCAGCCATGTGGGAGTGTCCAGCACCTTAACCACCATGCCACCTGCTGGTCTTAATCAGGGGTGTTCTAACTGCCCCTTTTCATACTGAGGAAAGTCCCCTCCATTGCCAGTTTGTGGAGTGATCTTTGTCAAATGCCTTTTCTGAAACTACCGAAGTAATTGTGTGAGATTGTCCCCTACAGTTTAAAATTAAGACATAATTTTTATGCCATAAAATCAACTCTTCCTAAATGTGCACTTCAGTAGTTGTTGTTTTCCAGAGAGATTTATTGCAATAGGGCACGTGTGCTTGCCAGAGAGGGAGCGAGACAGAAAGCAAGAAATCACCCCCCTGGGAGGATGGCCACACCACAATCCCTTCCTCTCCATTCTCCTCACGGGATTTGGGGCACGCACACACACGCACCCGGCATGAGTTTCAAGCCACCAGTTCCAGCCCTCGAAACCTGGTCAACCATGTGGGAGTCCAACAATGTAACCATTATGCCATCTGCTGGTCCCAGTCATTTTTAAGTATACTTACAAAGCTGTGCCACTGTCATGCTTAGCTAATTACATTATTACATTTTCATCGCCTCCCCCAAAATACCTGGAATACACTATCGGTCACTTCCCATAGCGACACTAACTTCTTTCTTTCTCTCTTTTATTTGTATTTTTTTTTTTTGCTGCAGGGCACATTTACTCACAAGAGAAAGAGAGAAAGGGAAAGTGAGAAATCACCACCCAGGGGTATGACCATGCTGCATTCCCTCCTTCTTCATTCTCCTTTGGGATTTTAGGCATGTATGCACACGTAGTTGGTGTGTTTTTCAAGCTGCAGGGTCCAGAACTCAAATCACACAGTCAGCCATGTGGACTGACTTAATCAACCTCCTTCACCACCACACCACTGGCTGGCCTCAGACACTAACTTCTTTCCACTTAAACACTATTCTACTTTCACTCTCTATGGATTTCTCTATGCTGCATGCTCCATATGAGTGAAGAAAAGATATATAGTACGTTAGCTTTTGCATTTAGTTACCTTCATCTCACATATGTCTTCAAGGTGTATCCATTTTCCCCAGAACTTCATTTCTTTTTATTTTTGAATATTTCACATTTATTAGTTGATGGGCATTGGTGCTTTTTCCATTTTTTGGTTCTTATAAATAATGCTGCTATGCGCGTCCACGTAAAGTTTGTGTATAAACACTTATTTTCAATTACTTTGGGTATATACCTAGGAGTGGAATGGCTGGTTCATATATAACTGTATTTCACCTCTCTGAGAAACCGCCAGACTACTTCTCAAAATCACTGCACCATTTTGAATTCCTACTACCGGGTTGGCCCCATGGGCTAGTGTAGTTAAGGAGCTAGATCCCACATGGCTGACCACGGTTCAATTCCTAGCCCCAGCTGTTTGAGAAATACGCCAGGTACTCTGAAGCCTGTGTGCCTCAAATCCCAACAGGATGAAGAAATGGATAAGAAGGGACTTCAGTGTGACCACATCCCACTGGGGGTACTTTCTCCGTCTCCCTCTCCCTGTCTCTCCAGTTCTCTGACTAGAGCACAGTTCCTCTGGCAATAAAAATATTTTTAAAATTCCTATTAGCAGTATATTAGTGCTCCAATTTCTTGACTTTTTCATCAAAGCCTGTGGTTTTTATCCATTACTCTGTTGATATGATGTATTGTATTAACTTTCTTTGTTTATTTTAATTTATTTATTTACGCTCATTCATTGTACAGCAATATAGTATACAAAATAAAATTTTCCGTCCAGAATGCACTGTATATGGGCTCAGTCATGGATATTACCATGCATGTTATCATCAACAAATAATTTTCCATTTCTTGTTTCTTATGTATTTTGCTTTTGCCCCCCTTGATTCCCTACCTCTCACCCTCTGCCATTTCCCACCCTCCTTCCACACTATCTCTGGTATCTGCAGTTGTTCTCCATGCCTAATTTCTTCACATTTTATTGATTCACTAAAGATCTTAATTAATTAAAAAAAAAAACCTTTCAATAGCAAGCACAGCTGATATATACATATCTATGAGCACACGTCTGACTTTAGGAGTAAACCTCAGTGAGCAAAGCGAACATACTATAAAGTAGCACCTCGCTGGGGTTATATAGCTTACTGCAGTCATTAAATAGATATTTTAATGCATTTTTTTTAATTCCAAAAAAACCAGTTTTAGTTTTAATAGATTAAAATAAAAAAAATGTTAAGAGAAATTTGCTTTAGACTTAAAGCCAGGAAAAAGGTTAGGATTCAGTTCAAACAGTAGGTAGATGAACCTATCAACAGTTCAAGACAAAAATCCTTGAATCTGGACATCAAAGCATAGACGAAAATCAGTAATGTTTTAGTCTAAAGTCAAAGAATGCTATTTCACTGGTTCAGTCTCATGTAATTCATCTCTCTTCTGTTGAATTTGCAGTGTTACTGTGGTCTGATCTTTCCATTTAAACTCTGGAAGTTAACACCAGACTTGTCCCTACCACTAGGCTGGCCATTTTCTTGGTTGTTTTTTGCGCTCTTATTTCTGTGTGTCCAACTTTAGTTTTCCTGGTATAGCACTCCCTTCAGCACTTCTTGGAAAGCTGGTCTGGTGCTGGTAAATTCTTTCAGGTTTTGTTTATCTGAGAATGTTTTTATCTTTTTTCCCCATATGAAAGATAATCTTGCTGGGTATAGTATTCTTGGTTGAAATTGTTTTTCACTTAACACGTTGAATATATTTTCCCATTCTTTCCCTAAAAATGCATTCCAAGAACTTCCTCACTTCCTGGAATTCATTGTCTCTTTTCTCCTACCTCTTCTGGAGTTTGTTGTCTCTCTTCTCTTGCATCTCTGTTAGCTTTGACACTATGACACTAAAAATGTTAGTGGAAAAACAGAATTAAGCTACATGTTTAGGGCCAGCTGGTTACAAGTTAGGTGGGGTTGGGAACAGCAGTAATGGCTATGTCGCTGGACTCCCATGTAGTCGACCGCAGTTCGAGTCCCGGACCTGGTGGCTTAAACTCACGCTGGGCACGGATGCGTGCATGCCCAAGATCCCAAGTGGAGAATGGAGGAGAAGGGATTGCGGCGTGGCCATCCCCCCTGGGGGTGATTTCTCGCTTTCTGTCTCCCTGTCTCTCTCTGTCTGGCGAGCGCACAAGTCCTATGGCAAAAAACCCTCAAAAAAAAAAAAAAAAAAAAAAAAGGTAGGGGCCAACCAGTGGCTTGGTAGTTAAGGGCCTGGATCCACATAGTTGACTATGAGGTTTGTGTCCTGGACCTAGCAGCCTGAAAACCATGCCATGTATATGGGAATGCATACCCATAATCCCAAGAGAAGAATGGAGGAGAAGGGATTGCTGTGTAGCCTTCCCCTCACCCCCGGGTAGTGATTTCTCTCTCTCTCTCTCTCTCTCTCTCTTCTCTCTTTCTCTAGTAAGTGCACACACCCTATACCAAAATTCAAAACAAAAAATACTATGCATGTATTTAGGGGTAATATATACATATATTTGAGATCCATGGGGGCCAGACAGCAGTAAAACACAGTGCTCTGCTGGGCTGACCCACATGGGAAGGTGTTGGGTTTGCCACCAGAGACCTCTCTGAGTATGCCAGGCTCACACACAAGCCCATGACCAGGGACTGGCCAAGGCTAGGGGAGGATGGTGTTGTTAAGACTCTGCTGTGGCTGAGCAGTTAGCGTAATGGCTATGTTGCTGGACTCCCATGTAGTTGATCGTGGTTCGTGTCCCGGACCCAGTGGCTTAAAACTCACGCCGGGAACGTGTGCGTGCGTGCCCAAGATCCCGAGAGGAGAATGGAGGAGAAGGGATTGCGGCGTGGCCATTCCCCCTGGGGGGTGATATCTTGCTTTCAGTCTCTCTGTCTTTCTCTGTCTGTCTGGCGAGCGCACGCACCCTATAGTGAAAACCTCTCAAGAAAAAAAAAAAAAAGACTCTGCTGTGGCTGCTGTCTCTCTGTTTCACTCTTTGGAAGAAAGAAATAAACTTGAAAAACTTTTCAAAGATTCCTGCATAGTTTTCTCATAATACACATTTTCCACGAGCTCTATGAAGTTCCCACGTGTGTGCTGAGGGGAGAGCCAATAGGGTTTGATCTGACCTACGATGTGGGGAAAGAGAGGAGAGAGAAAGAACAGCTCTACTTGGGGCTGGCAGGCTCATCAACTCCTCTGTAGACTCAGCCGCGAAATGAGGTGGATTCACAGAACTGTCGCCATGAGCTTCAAAGGAGATGAAATGCTCCTGAACTGTATGTAAAAGGCAGAGTGCCGGGACCAGCAGTTGGCGTAATGGCTGTGTCGCTGGACTCCATGTAGTCGACCATGGTTCGAGTTCTGGACCTGGTAGCTTCAACTCACGCCAAGTGCATGTGTGTACGTGCCCAAGATCTTGAGAGGAGAATGGAGGAGAGGGGATTGTGGTGTGGCCATCCCCCCTGGGGGGTGATTTCTCACTTTCTGTCTCTCTGTCTCTCTGGCAAGCGCATGTGCCCTATAGCAAAAACTCTCAAAAAAAAAAAAAAAAAGAAAGAAAGAAAGAAAAAGAAAAGAAAATAATAAAAGGCAGAGTGCCAAAGCCCCTAGTAAAAATATAACAAACTTTATTTTATTGACTATCCCTCTTTTTTTTTTTTAAGAATTATTTATTTAATTATTATTGTTTCATTTGCTATAGGGTACATGCACTCACCAGAGAGAGAAAGTGAGAAAGCAAGCCACCAGGCCCAGGACTTGAACCATAGTCAGCTGTGTGGGAATCCAATGCCTTAACCAGCACACCACTTGCTGATCCTGACTATCCCTCTTAGAAGCTGATTTTCATCTTAGTGCTGATGCTTTTTACAGTCTTTAGTGTCTTCCTTTCTTTTGCTGTTTTGTTTCAGAGAGAGTTTTGCTCTAGGGCGCATGTGCCAGCAGAGACTGAAAATAAGATATCACCTCCCAGGAGCAATGGCTGTGCTGCAGTCCCTTCTCTTTCATTCTCTTCTTGGGGTTTTTGGGCACTCACACACACGTGCTCAGCATGAGTTTCTAGTCACCAGGTTCAAGACTTGAACTGTGGTCGGCCGTGTGCGAGTCCAGCAACGTAGCCATAATGCCATCTGCTGGTCCCTTCTTTTGCTTTTACACTAAACTTTACCCTTGTAGACAACAGGAGTGGGTCTTACAGAGCTTTGCCTCCTCAGTGTGTATGCAGAACGTGTGTTCCTTAAGTACTTGTTACTGTCGTCTCTTGGGCTAATCCCATCAATATAATATTCCAAATACTGTTTCCTTTGGTCTTCCTCATTACCTCAGCTTCCAAATGTCTTTTTTATTTTTAAAGAATTACTTATCTTGGAGCCGGCAGGTGGCGTGGTAGTTAAAGGAGCTGGACTCCCACATGGACGGTGGTGGTTCAAGTCCCAGACCTGGCGACTTACTTTCTCGCTTTCCCTTTCTCTCTCTGTCTCTCTCTGGTTAAATTAAAAATAATGATAACAAATGGAATTAAATAAATGAATAAATAATTCATTTTAAAAAGAATTATTTATTTAATTTAATTTATTATTACTATTTATTTTAAATTTTTTAAAATTTTCTACCAGGCACATGTGCTCACCAGTAAAAGAGAGAGAGAGCCAGGCTCCAGAATTTCTTAACCTAACTGAGGTTCCATTTTCATTTTCTTCTTTCTCCCTTACTCCCCCTTCCAAACTTCCATGATCCAAATATACAGATGCCAATGAAAGGCTAGTAATGTGCACCCTGTGACCAGCATGTTTAGTATTTATTTTAACACAGTTGAAAATGAAGGATAAAGGGACCAGTAGGGGGGCGTGGTGGTTAAGGCACTGGACATTCCCACATGGCTGACCACAGTTCGTCTGCCGGACCTGGTGGCATGCTTTCTCACCTTCTGTGTGTGTGTGTGTATCTCCAGTCAATTAAAAATAAACAAATGATGGGACCAGCAGTTAGCGTAATGGCTATGTTGCTGGACTCCCACGTAGTCTACCGCGGTTCGCGTCTCGGACCCAGTGGCTTAAAAACTCACGCCGGTCGCGTGTGTGTGCGTGCCCAAGATCCCGAGAGGAGAATGGAGGAGAAGGGATTGCGGCGTGACCATCCCCCCAGGGGGTGATTTCTCGCTTTCTGTCTCTCTGTCTCTCTCTGTCTGTCTGACGAGCGCACGCGCCCTATAGTGAAAACCTCTCCAAAAAATAAATAAATAAATAAACGAATGAATGAATGAATAAATAAATAAATAATTCTTTAAAAAAAAGAGAAAAGAACAGAAAAAGAAAATGAAGGATAAAGAGGGAAGACCTTAGGAGGTGGCCCTTACTCTGCCCTCTGTCCTCCTAAGCTCTAGCTAGAAACTTGCATACTCCACTCAAACAAAAGTCCTACAGTTAATAGAACTATCTCCCTAAAGGTCACTTAGCAAAGCTCCCACTTACCACCAGGCCATCAGTGAGTCTCCTCCCCAGGAGCTAGCCCAGGAGGACCTGCCATATAACAGATGTTCAATAGCCATTCTCTAAGCACTGCTGGAATGTGATGGATTAGACTTGGAGATGCGGAAAATGGAACACTGAGCAAGGAGTCAAAAGGGGGCGTGTGATTTAGGGCTTCATAGCCAGTGTTGTAAGACAGGAGCAAACACGCTTTTACTTTTCTCAGTTGTAAAATGGGCTGACTAATATCCTTTCAAATACATTTTCTTTTACATTGACACAGTAGGTTATGTCAACTGTAATGAGAAGATAGCCCAGGTACACACACTCACAGCTGAAACAAAAGGTCACGAAACATTACTTATCCTCACTTCCAATTATTGCTATTATTTTTTAAAATCATTTTTATTACATGATTTCCTATGAGAGAAATGCTTTTGAAATGGCCCATGAATTCTTTTTTTTTTTTTTTTTAGAGGTTTTCGCTATAGGGCGGGGTGAGGTTTTCGCTATAGGGCGCGTGCGCTCGCCAGAAAGACAGAGAGAGACAGAGAGATAGAAAGTGAGAAATCACCCCCCAGGGGGGATGGCCACGCCTTTTACATTCTCCTCTCAGGATCTTGGGCATGCACGCACACGTGCCCGGCGTGAGTTTAAGCCGCCGGGTCCAGGACTTGAACTGCGGTCGACTACGTGGGAGTCCAGCGACATAGCCATTACGTTGGTCCCATTACTATTACTTTTTAAGAAAGATTTTTGCTATAGGACTAAGTGTACTTGCTGGAGAGGCAGATAGTGAGAAATCACCCTCTCCAGGGGGATGGCCTTGCCGCAATCCCTTCTCCTCCATTCTCCTCTCAGGATTTTGGCACACAGGCACATGTACCCAGCCTGAGTTTGAAGCCTCCAGATCCTAGACTAAAACCGCAGTCTACTACGTGGGAGTTCAGCGATGTAACCATTACAACATCTGCTGGCACCAATTATGTTATTTTTCCATTTTAGTTCATTTGTAAAAAAATAATAGTCACAACCTATTGAATAAATTTTACAAACATGTCGGGTATTTTTGACTCATAGTTGGAAAAAATATCACCTTGGAATGTTAAATGAAATAATACACATAAAGGGTTTGGTTCAAAGGTTTTCTTTTTTTAAAAAAATATTTTAAGGATTATTCATTTCATTTTTATCTACCACTATTATTATTAAATTTTACCAGAGAGAGAGAGAGAGAAAGAAAGAAACCCACAGGTTCAGGTCTTGAACCACCATTGGCCATGAGGGAGTCCAGTGCCCAAACTACCGTGCCACCCACCAGCCCCCAAAAGCTTTCTAAATGCAAATCTTTACAAAGTCCACCTTGGAGGAATCTACAAAGGGAAGGAATGATGGAGGTGTCGGCTCTGCAGGCAAGTGGAGGAGGGGGAAAGAATACAATGCACAAAATACCCATAGTGCAAGGAAAAAAAAATCCCAGCGCTGCTTAGAACCTTCTAAGCGCTCATCTTTGCATGTCCAGTTTCTTATCCATCCTCCCTGTTGCGGTTCTCAGCTCCAGTTCCCCAGGAAGCCCTCGCGGAACAGAGCTAGTTCCTGCTAAGCTCCTGTTTATCTTACTATGTCTTATTACCCTATTACTTTCTTCATAGGAGGATGCTTATCGGAAATCAATGACTCATTTGCAAGTTTATCACCTGCTCTAAGCCTTCCATGTGGAGGGCAGGAATCTTGTCTACCGTGCTCATAACTGTATCCCTGATAAACAGTGTCTAGCACATCAGGCAGTAAATAGATCTTGAGTGAATGAATACCCACTAGGAAACGAACAAGGAGGCATTTAATCAAATATGCATGTAGTCAATCCTATACAGATTTGTTTTGTTTTGTTTTTCAAGTTATAGGTACCGGGGTTCATATTAAACTTTGCCTGCTTTGTGATTTATGCAAGTTGGCTGGAAACAAAGTTATTAAAGCAGACATGCTTACTTGAGGAATTAAGTATCTAGTGAATTATGTTATTTGGGTTCTAAATAGTTCCGTACATAGTTTATTTCCCCATGACTTCTTGGAAGGTAAGACTACCTCGTTAGAGTCTGCATTCCTAGTGATCAGAACACTGCCCAGAAGGTGGTAAGCTCTCGATCATTATCTGATAAATAAAAGGGCGGAGCTTGGAACTAGGAATATAGGAGGGAGCCAACTGGGGACACGCTGCAGTTCCTCCCCGGAGCAGGAGACGGCGCCAGTGCTACGCCCGCCCGGCCGCCGGCAGTTCTTGGTCCCTCTGGCTGACCGTCCAACGCCGGGCCCCGAGGCCCGTGCAGCAGCTAACCAATAGAAAACCGTCTTAGTTAAGAGGTCTGGCAGAGGCGTCCAATGAGTGTAGCGGGTATAGGCGAGGGGCGGTGCGACGGGGAGGGCCAGAGAGGAGCGGTTAGAGGTGCGAGTTGGCGCTGCTGGCTGGGCTGGGGCAGCGGAGCTGCGATGCAGACGGTGCGGCGGCGGTGAC